TCAATTTTCAAAACAAACTTTATTTCCAAAGCGAACAACAATTTCGTCAGCATGTTCTATACTCTCATAGAGCACGCTACAATTAGCCAATCAGAATCCCTGTTAAAATGGTTCAAATAGTCTGATTGGCTCTACAAGACAAAAGCTGTCAAAAGTGTCAAACCATCAAAGTTCAAAAACCATCAAAGTTCACAATCTGCGATAGTTAACAATCTGCGATAGTTTACAAACTAAAATAGTTCGGCAGGTCGATTTTAACGCTTTTGCCTGAAGTTTTTAACACAGAATCTTCAAGTGAAATGTTCAGTGAACTTCAGCCGAATTATGGCTCATAAAAAACACGCGAGTTTTTTCACATGACAAGGTAGAAAACAAACTGTTCAAGGCGAGTGTTTTTTAAATGAACGACAGCCGAATTCACCGGAACATGAAGATCGCTCGGGATGACAGCGCCGCAAAACTCGGCTGCAGTGACTGAAGTGACTTTCTACTCAACGTATCGGAAAGGATATCAGAGCGAGCTCTTATTTTTTCACTCGAAGGCCGGCCGATGTAGTTTCTGAGGCTTGCTTTACTGTAATGATCGGAGATCGCCATGCTAAGCGAGCCGCGATGGACTTCAGCATGATCATATTTGCTCAGACACCGTCATGATTAGTATGAATTTTAACAGATATGTCAATTTGATTATATTTTTCATAATTTCTGTTTTGTTCTGTTTTGTTTTGTTTTTTAACTCTGAACTTTATATACTATACGAGTGTTAGCTGTGTTTGATTTTTATTACCGTTCGTAAGCTTGCAATCTAACTGAGCGTGAAAATCTTTGAAACTCGGAATGTCTTTTTAATTTTTCTTTTGAGGATTTTCGTATCTGCTCACGTTTTAATAATGTAAATTACGGCGCCTGATATGTTTACAAACCTTTGTTTGGTTCTTCTGTTGCTACTTGCCGGCTCGCTTGTTCCGAAATTTCACTTTCAATTATCGGGAAAAAGCTAAAAAGAAGTCCCGGAAAAGGTCGAACATAGTACAATTAGGCAGATGGCGTGACAGCTTCGGCTCAGCTCTATGCTCTATACTCTCATAGAGCACGCTCTTTCAACCAATGACAGCGCACGTTATATCCGAACTTTATTATAATCACAAATATCTAAGATTTTGACTGTCAAGGTCGGTTAGGAAGAAAATACCCATTCTTTTTGTTCGTGACCTAACTATGATGACAGTTCGATGACAGTGCAATGACTGTGCGACAAACGTTTGAAAACAAGTTAATTTGTTTTGTATGATTATTAATAAGAAAGTTAGGTTAAAACCCTGGTGGCTGCGCTGGGTGCTGTTTGGACGAAATCTCTTTCTTATAACCCCCAGAATAATGGTGACAACCAATCTAACGGGAGATGGAACTCAGACATTTATAGAACTGCTATGCTCTCCCTCCCTGGTTGGTAAACTTCAACTGCAATTGATTTCTTTTTTAGCCGCAGTCAGTATCCTCCTCTCCATTACAGCATTTCTTGGGAATTCTCTCATCCTTTTTGCGCTTCACAAGGAATCTTCCCTTCATCCACCGTCCAAACTCTTGTACCGTTGTCTGGCAACAACTGATCTGTTGGTTGGTCTTGTTAGCCAGCCTCTCTGGGCTACCTATTTGCTGTCCTTAGTTCACGAACACTGGAGTCTTTGTCGATACGCCAGAGACGCGGGTTTCTTCACAGTCAATCTATTATGTTCAATGTCTTTGTGTACGATGACGACCATCAGCGTGGACAGAGTTCTGGCCCTTATTTTGGGGCTGAGATACAGGCAAACTGTAAATTTAAGACGCACATCTATCACTGTAGCTTACATGTGGATTCTATGTCTTGCCGCTACTTTGTGCCTTATTTTTGATCACCGTATAACCATTTGGTATAGCTTAATAGGCATACCGTCTTGCCTGGTTGTTTCTGTTGCTTCGTACACATATATTTTCTGCACTCTCAATCAACATCACGCTCAAGTACAGGATCATGTTCAGCAACAGCCAAGCCAACCAAATGTATTGAACATTGCGCGATACAGAAAGGCAGTGCATAGCGCACTGTGGGTGCAGTTGGCATTAGTGGTTTGTTGTTTGCCATATGGTACAGTGATAATTGTTATTACTAAGAGTAAAACATATTCATCACACTTAATCGCCATAAGCGGAATCGCAGGAACTTTAGTTTGCTTTAACTCAACGTTGAACCCATTTCTTTACTGCTGGAGGATCAGTGAAGTAAGACAAGCAGTGAAGCAGTCGATAAGACAAATACTTTGCTGTCCATGGAGTTAGCCCCGAGAGATACACTTGTCTCAATGCTGTTAAAGATGACCTCGAAAGTCAAGGTTTTTAAGAGAACGCGCTTCGCATGAGTCGTTTCAGAGGAAGTAATTCCTGTAATAATTCTTAATGTTTCCATATGAATAATAACCAACTGTTCAACACGGAATCGAATCACCAACCACATTTTAAGATTGTTTCATTGTACCACATTTTATTAAGAATGCATTTTATAATCGGCGAAAAAATTGTCATGCATTTTACTATCTTGTCTCATTAACATTCTAAGCAAATTTAACGCATGCAATAAAATTTCAAAGATTAGTGAAGGAGAGTTGTTGGAAGTATCTAACTATGTCTTTCTTTTACCGTGAAGGAAAGTGCGTGATGGTAAAGTCACTGGGTCATATGAGCCGGTTTCTAGTCTCGAATTTGTTTGTGCTCAGTAAGTGTCAGACTGTACTAGCTTATGAACGAGCAGATGTTTGTCGTCTTTTGTGAAAGATGTTCAAACAAACTCACGGAATGAAGTCGACCATCAGCAGTTCTTGAATAGTTCGCTTTGAAATCGATCGTTTGCGCGAATTGCGTTCAAAATGATAATATTATCGAAAGAAAAATGCAAACAACGTTAAAAAATATTTCATATTAAGTGTTGTTATGCATTTCGTATGTCGCTGGTAGCGGTGTATCTTCCATTTTTTTAAATTTTATTGGTTCTTTGTCTACCACTTCCAACCGATGAACTGTCTTTAACTTGTTTTCAATCGCTTTACAAAGCGTTATGAGGTCAAGCATTTCTTAATATACAGAGAAAACATTGACACTCCACATATTGCCGGTTGTAAATATCTAAGAAAACCGCCCATCTCTGTGCTACTCAAAAAGTGACAAAACTGAGTTTCCTCGCTGTAGTGTCAAACATTAATTGCACCGATGTCCTTTCTGGCATTTAAATTAACTTTTGATGCTAATTTTTAGTTAGGTGAACAGCTGATTGCGGTCCATACGTTTTGGTATAGTAAATCAGCTGCACTCGCTATTCTGAGCAAAATAACGGGAAAATAACGGATTGAAATTGAAAATTGTAAAGAATGTAAAAATTTAAAAGAATATAAATATTTTGGTACCGGATGAAACCCTGGTTTCTAAACGAGACCAAGTGCACGTGGGGCTTAGCCGGTAAAGTATTGGTTGATACTAGATGAAATACAGAAATCACGTGACCAGTAGTAACTCTTAATAAAAGTAGATTGTGATTAACATTTTATATGTAACATCCTTGCACCACTTCCTCATGTATATGTCTCCAACCGGCACCTTTTGGACAAAGGACCATGTAGCTAAATACCAGATGTTTTTCGCCACAACATGAAGGCACGTTTAATAATTTTACTCCCAGATAAACAAATATTTAGATGTAAGGGTGTGTTGATGTGTAAATGTGATTCGACTGAAAATGAATAAATAATACAAATATCTAAGTACAGATAGAACAACAACAAGGACAACGACAAAGCTACATGAAGTAGAAACGAACTTACAATTTGTGGCGTAACAAGGTCTGGTAGTAAAACTCTTAAACAAAGGTGACACGGCGCAAGCAAAAGCTAACGAAATGACTCAGTTAGTTTACCAGCCATGAAAAATATGTAAGGAAAACAACGCTTTGTACTGGCAAGAAATAAAACACTGCTGGCGTTATGTAATTCTTACGCAATGTCACGCAAAAACGAGAACGTAACTGAATAGAAACATGACATACGACAGTAGTTCAATTGAAAGAAAAACAATATAAAATAATTTCGCAGTTACTTGACGACAAACAGAAATGCAAATTCTATTTGCTACAGACCATAAAATCTACTGGGTTTGTGTTCTCCATTCTTTGAGGGTCCGAAGGATAATACGCTGAAACATTCTCTGCGCGTACTGTTTTTTTTTTAAACAAGAAGACTGAACACTGAAATTTCATCTTAGTTAAGTGCACCACTAGATAATATGGTTCTTTGCAAATACGAGGATGAGAGGATAATTTCAACCTCCCAATTATTATGAAAATAAAGAGGAATTAACTTTGAAATACAGTTGCTTCAAAGCTGTGCGAATCTGTCGATCTCGCCAACAGTACAATATAGGGTTAAGGGAAGAATTTAAAAAAACCAATGTGACCATCGTGTTAAAAGTTGTTGGTGAGTTTCCGTGGGTATCACGACACAATCCTACATAGACTGTGTAAGGAAAATAACAAAACAGAAGGAGTGTATATACAAGGAATGAGTTCGCAGCAGATTTCTTGAGTCTTACGACACTGAAAAGATTTCCATTATTTTCTTGTTGTCGTTGGTGAGGGTGGCGCTGAAGTTGAATCTGGCTTTGATGGCGTCGAACGATGAAATAAATTTTAGAATATGCAATAAAGTTACCAACAAGAAGGCACAAAAATATGGCGGGTTGAAGAAGCAAGAGAGGACGGAAATACTTTAACCCAAGGTAAGGGATTGAAACAACAGCAGAGAATAGCCAGATACAAATCAGAATCAACTTGACGCGTGATGTTGTCACTAATGCGTTATACCTTAAATGGAGTCTGAGAGCAAGGAAGCGGTCTATTGCAATTGCAGTAACGTTCATTAAAGACACCAAAGTTAAAAAGACGGCTGAAATGTGAAGTGGAACAGGATCGAAATTGTTAAATAACAAAAACAATGCGAAAAGAGGCTGTACCACCAAACCAACAAAAAGGTCTGATACTGCGAGACTTGACAGTAACATATACGAAGCTGAATGCAAAGAAGATGTCTTCCAAATTGTGATCAAAATCACTGCGTTTCCGAACAGAGCTGTGGCACTGAGAAGTACGTTTATCACGCAGATGGCTACGGTGTGATTTAGCTCGCGTACAGCCTGGATGTAGAATTTGAAATTGAAGTCTTCACCAGAGAGGTTCATGTCAGAAATAGATCGAATTACACTAAAAGAATATGTTCTCTAAACGCGTGTATGGCTTGAGTGCTTTACTTTGCCGTTAAGAAACAAGATTAAATTGATTTTGCTTCATTTTTTGTGCTTGGTTGATAAAACTCACATGACTTCCTTAACCAATCAGAGGCATAATCAAAAACGAATCCCGAGTTAGTTTTGTGCTTTTTCCGCATCTCAGTGTGGTTTCCTCATTCAAGATCTCATCATTTCTCTGTCTTATTTACCTTTGTGCTGATTGACCGTTGCGATAACGCTGGTTTTAATTTTACTTCTTCTCTTTGAGTTTGATTTTTATTGTCAAAATGAGCTTTCTACAGTAATATACCTTCACTTACTTTTTATTTGTTTTTGACTCCGGCAGAGCAATTACGAGGCCAAACACAATACTCTACAAGCGCCTTTTTTGTTTTTTACTGCCTTTGAATAGACATTCTTGCTTTTGATTTCTGACAGCATGATAAACAATATGAGTAGTGAAAGATATTTGAATGAAAAAGCAAAGTGAAGCATCTAGATGAAGGGTATCTGCCATGAAAATGATCCACCCTCAAAATGATTTTGCCTAAAAAATATTCCTTGTTGATTCTGCCATAAACATGACAAAAGTCTTTGTTTATAAACACGTTTAGCCAAATTGTATCGTGAAAAAAAATCTACATCTATTTTGATGACATCAGTTGGCATGTATATATATATTTTTATTTCTAATTTTCTTTCAGTTCTTTGACTAAACACACTAGTACTAATTTTGACCCAAGCACTGCAATTATTAGAGTCTTTTTTATTATCAATGTGTCCATACAAGACGACTCTGGCATGTGTTCATAACACTCAGCACATAGCGGTTTTAATTGGAGAGATTTACTACTGACCATGGTTACTTAGTCATGATAAAGGGCATCATTTGGGTCAGAAAATTGTCTTAAGACAAGGGGAAGGCGTGAAAGACTATGGAATAAACTTTTCCAGTGCCGACATCTGGATGGAAGAAAGGCATTTAATTTCTGTTATCTTTAAATTACTTCAGTTTAAGCCGCTTAACAGTTGTTTTAAAGCTGTGCGAATCTGGCGATCTCGCCAACAATAAAATACAGGGTTAAGGGTAGAATTGAAAAAAACCAGTGTAACTGTCACGTTAAAAACTATAGGTGAGCCTTGACGTAAATCGAGATTGAGAAATATAACTCCTAATTGAACTGAAAAAGGAAGATAACAAACCAGAAGAAGAATATACACAAGGAATGTGTTCACTGCAGATCTCTTGAGCCGTCCCCTAGTAATAAGATTTCTATCATCAGCCTGACGCTGTTGTTGATGGAGATGATGCTGGATTTGAATCTGTCTTCGATGATGTCGAACGATGAGATAGATTTTACAATATACAATAAAGTTAAGAACGAGAAGACATGTATAAATCGCAGGAGGAAGGTATATGTAGTAAATAAACTGTCTTATCCTTGCAAGAGGCACAGCACTAACAGCAGCGAACACCCAAATAAAAATCAGAACTGATTTGACGCGGAATGTTGTCACTATTGCCTTATACCTCAAATGGAGCTGAAGAGCAAGCAAACGATCCACTGCGATTGCTGTGATGTTCATCAAAGACACCAAGGTTAAAAAGAAAGCCACACTACGATGAAATCCATGATTCGTTGTTCTTAAAAGCAAAAATATAGCGAAAGGAGGTTGTACAACCAAACCCACAGCAAGGTCTGATGCAGCGAGACTTGAAAGCAACACATACGAAGCTGAATGCAGAGAAGATGTCTTCCAAATCGTGACTAGAATCATCGCGTTTCCGAACAGGGCTGTGGCGCTGAGAATTATGTTAATCACGCCTATTGCTAGGGTGTGCCTCAACTCGTTTACAGCTTGGGCCTGGAATTTGAAATTGAAGTCTTCACGAGAAAGGTTCATGTCGGAAATATTGAAGTGCATTGCGAATAAACATATAGACCCTCTTGATGCATGTATGGACGTATGGCCTGAGTGCTTTACTTTGCAATCAAGAAAAAAAATTACTCCAGGATTGAATGTGCTTATATTTTTCTATGTGATTAGTCGACAATAACTCGCATTACTTCCTCAACCCATCAGAGACACAAAACTTCTACTAATCCCGAGTCGGTCGCTCGCCTTTCTTGCGGTTCAGTAAGTTTGCTGTTTTTCGCTCAAAGTCCTCACAGGCTCCCTGTAATACTCAACTTTGTTCGTATCGACTATTGCGGTAACGTTGGTTTTCATTCTTACACCTTGATTTGGTTTTGATTTTTCTACCAAAATGGGCCATATTTTAATAATCATCTTCAGTTGATCATTATCATTTTAACGTCTGTTTGTTAAATGGGCTTTATTTTGATAATGCAGCTTTTTTTACTTATGATTATTTTATCATTTGTTCATAACTTCAGAGAAACAATTACGACACGAAACTCAATTTTTTACATGCGCCACTACTGTTTTTTACTGGCTTTGAATCTCAGTCTTGTTTGTAATTTCTCTTAAAATTATGAGCGTCGAGCCATCTATGAATGAAATCAATTAAGAGCATTGAAATTTCATCTGAATAAGAGTTTTGTTCAGGAGTGAGACTTATTTTACACCGGATATTAATTTGTATAGTCGAAATAAAACAAAGACATTTTTTTAAAAATAATTTTGTCAGAAAATAAACACAATTATTTAAAATAAAAATCCTATTTCCTTCAGCATTTAATACAATAGGTAGCATATGATAAATAAAACAACCATCTTCTCTCTAGAAACTCGTCATTTCAGGATACCTAAAAGTGAACAAAACTGTTTAGTAAATGATTGCTTTGGCAACAAATAATATCTAACAAGGAAGGAAAAAAACTATCCTAAATAAACAGACATCGCCAAAGATAGACAACTGTGGCTGAAGAACTGAATTAATCCAAATACGTTTAGTTTTGCTGACTGAGGCGACACTGTAGAGGGTCCTTTGATAGATATTAAGTAAATACACTTATATCATTGCCGTATTGCACAGTTTGGTGATAAGGATAGAACAGCTGAACCGCAAGACGCCATATCTTTCACTGGGAGCGCTCTCAGTTGCTCGTTGTTCTATGGACGCCAACAAAAGTCAACCTATGAATGATGATCAAATCCCTACGAACACTGGTCAATATCTAATTTATAGTTTAACAGGGTGTGTTATCATTGTTATTCTTAGTATTACCACTCTGTTCGGGAACTCTGTGATTCTGATAACTATTTGGAAGACATCTTCTTTGCATTCAGCATCGAATATTTTATTGTCAAGTCTTGCCGTATCAGACCTTGCCATTGGTTTGGTTGTTCAGCCTTTATTTATTGTGTATTTACTAGCTCCTCTCGGTTCTGAACTGCTACATGTTTTGTCTATCTTTTTGTCCACACCTTCATTGATGATCATTACAGCGATTGGAGTCGACCGTTTGCTTGCTCTCCAGTTCCATTTGAGATATATTCAAGTGGTAACGCCTCTTCGTGTCAAGTCGGTTGTGAGTTTCATTTGGCTTCTCTCTGCTGCTATTGCAAGCTCCAAACTTTGGGCGGGATATTTCTTTAATTTAATTCCACCCGCGACCTTTCTATGTCTTCTTGTGGCAAACTTTTTTGTTTATTCTAAAATATACTGCGTTGTTCGACGCCACCGAAGGCAGATTCAACAACAACAACAACTACAGCAAAGAAGTAATGACAACGTATATAGGATTCTAAGGCTCAAGAAATCGGCTTTAAAAACATTTCTTTTGTGCATCATACTTTTGTTATGTTATTTGCCCTACTCGGTGTACACTCACTTGCAAATGTTACGCGCTGTGGATTCCATCTCCGCAAGTGTACTTATCACAACAGTCACGTTGGTCTTCTTAAACTCAACCCTAAATCCCTTAATTTATTGTTGGAGAGACGGTCAAATTCGTGCAGCCGTAAAGCAACTGTTTTACAGTTTAATCTAATTAATCTTAGCCTATTCATCAGTTTGAATAAAAATACGAGGCGCAACAGCGGAGCCCCATAACAAGAAAAGTATAACTCATTAAGCCGATACCACTTGGTTGCCACATGATGGCTGTACGTCTGTCCGTCTATTTGCATATAAAACTGTGTTCGCTTGAGAAACTTTGAAAAAATAAGGGCAGCAATAGCTAAATAACTGAAGCAATGCTAAAGGTTAATATTACCCATGCAACTCTAAGATAGGAAATCGCGTGGAGAGGAGTAGGAGTGTTCTATAGTTTCGATTATCAGTTTTTTGTTTTGACGGAGATCATTTGTTAGGTAAATTATTTGCATATGTGAGAAACTTCGACTCTCGTAATATTCATAATAAAATTTAATAAATCATACATTAGCCTTCATATGAAACACAAAGGAAGAGAAAAATCTTCGCGGGTGGGTTGCGATAATATAAGTTGTAGAAAAGAAGCTTAATTCGGGCTTCGACAGGATTCGAACCTACACCTTTCAGATACTGGCTGGGTACTGCAGTCAAATGAACTTAGAGCATAATCTGCATTTCTTTTAATCAATAACCGCACATCAAAAGGGCAGACATAATTATTCGGTGGTCCAAAAAATCTCCCGTTACTCTCGGATTCGCCTGCAGAACAGGCGTAATTGTTTGTGTTTTACAAGCGAACGGAGACAAGCGCTAGACGGGCACGAAGAAATTTTTTATCTACTGTGTATTTATTTATTTATTTATTTATCTTACGCTCCCTCCCTTGTGCATGACCCGCACTTTGCGCTGCCTTGCACTTGCCTCCGATCGACTGAAAAACTGGAAAAGAAATATGCCCGTTCTGTAGGCTATTCTCGGATCAACTGGGAACCAACACAAGTTACTACTTCGTGTAAGGAATATTCAAAGCCATGTAACCAAGCTATTCTTGCCGCGTCCTTATTTCAAGCATGGCGCCCTCACCTACAGTGGCTCTTGTAAGCAAAATGTTGTCGTTTTCTCGCCTGATTCTTTTCTCGGTGCTTATCGTTGTATTTAGGTACTCGTCGTCAACGAAAGCTCAAGATGTTGTTGGTTGCGGAGGATTCGTTCAATCAGACGTGGACATCAACTACTCTCTTATACAGGTGCGAACAGGCCTGCCGGCTGACGATCGATTATAACATACACTTTAATTTCAGCTTCATCAGTCGAATGCTCGTTCGTGTTTCAAATTTTGTTTTTTTTGGTATTCCGAATGTAATTCTAAATGTTTAAATATAGAAAAGGAATCCCTTCATTTTGAATCTGTTTTAGTACCTATAATTCTCTTTAATTTATTCCAATTCAGAATGACAGATTTTAATTGAACATATTGGACCGTCTTCGAGACAGGGTGTTCTTTAGTCACGGAACGCTCAATAAGTAATATTATTTGGAGTAGCTAGATGATATCTCTATCGATCAAATGGGTTTCTTTATCAGTGACAGGAGACACGATTCGCCCAAAAATAGTTATGTTATTTTCCTTAGGGGCGTTGTGGCGTGATTTTCATGTGATGTATTATCTTCTGTAAAGGTGCATGTTTGGTCGTTAAAATTAATTTTTAAATAACCTATTGTAACTTTCTGTCATGCTGACAATAGCAGTCTGACTTCACATCTGTGAGATATGAGCTTACCTAGATTTTCTATTTTATCACAATTTGTTGGAGCAACAAGATTTGAAACTAATAACAATGAAATGATAATCATAGTGCTAATGATGATAATAATAATAATAATAATAATAATAATAATAATAATGGTAACTATGATAATAGTCTTACATTAATGACAATGATATGCATTTAAAACTAAAATAAAATTAAAAAAAAAAATAGGTGAACTGTAGAAGCTTTTGAAGTGATAGAGAAAAACTGAAAGACCTTCCATGAGGGGAAACATCAAAACTGAAAGGCACAACTTAGAGTAAAGTACAATCCATCACATAAGCAAATGGAAAAGTACATGCGAAATCATGAGTCAGGGAGGTCCCCACTTCAATTTCAGGGGGACCCTATTTCAACCATATGGGAGTGAAGTAAGGGTTACCCCCTAAAGGTGTTTCAGTGTACTTGTCGAGTATAGTCAGTGAGAAGAAAGATGAAGAGGATGCCAACTGAGACAATAAGAAGCTATATCAGTGTAGGAGCTCTTATATCAGTCTAGTTAACAATTATGTTTTGAAATCCTTTATTTAAAAATAATACATCTTGAAAGTAGTAATTATGCTTATAATAGGCACAATATTTTGCACCCATTTGATGCATAGTGGCATGTTTTATACTTCATATTACCTCAAATTTTGAAAATCCTGCAGAGTCCCAGTAATTAGTTATGAGAATTTGGTGTTGGATCAAGATGACAACTTCTACTTGACAAGTTTGAGTATTCTTGCTACCTGTTTGCACATAATGTGTGAACATGTTACATGTTAATCACATTTGGGAGTTAACAGGCTAAAATAATTAATATTTTTTTCTTTAAATTGTCATTAGATGAAGCTGTTAACCAAGCAGGGAATCATCAAGTCTCAAACAGAATGTGCACCAAACAATGGCTACTTTCTCATTCCATTGTATGACAAGGTAATTGTTACTACCATATTATTTGTGTTGCTTCTTCCAGGATGCCTTGGGATTTCAGAGTTTGAGTGCCATGTTGGACTGGCTGACTACCCGCCTCTAGCTAGGGGAAGTTGAAGGAGGGGGTTGACACGCTTTCATCTGGATGCCATGTAAAGATATGTGGATACATTAAAACTATATGTATTTGTGATTTAAAAAAAAAAAATGAGTCAATACAAATTAAATCTGTGAGCCTAGCTACCATTTCATGTTCATGGGTTTAATTGAACACTGGATTTTGTCATACACAGACAAAAATAAAACAATGCCTAAGCTATGATGAACACACCCCACATGCATGTATATTTCCATAACTGTTACCTGAGTTCAGTAGCCCATCTCAGGGTTTATGCATAGTATTGAATATGTGACCACCTACATGTAGGTCCAGTTGTTCAAAGAGTGGATAACGCTATCCAATGGATAAATCATTTTCTAATGGATAACTGCTAAGAAAATGTACTGCACTATCCACCAGATAGAGATTTGTCCAGTGGATAGGGTTATCCAACCAATGAACAACTAGGGCATGAGCCTTTAACTCCCATGAGTGACCAAGACAGAATTTCTCCTTACAATATCAATACAATATCAACCAGATAAGTGATGAGAATTAAAAAAAATATCAATTTGGGGATAATTAGTTGATGTAATACTAAATTCTCTGAACTAACATTATAAGAATTGTATGGTTAACAGTAAGCAGAATTAGAAATTTGATTCGGGAGTTAAAGGTTTAATCTACAAGTACATGTCAAATTTTATTCCCTTTTTGTGCCTCTAACATCAGAAAATGCCTCATTAAGTTGGAAATGAAATCAACATTTTTTTTTTGTATCCCTAATTGTAGCATGAAATGTGTATAACTGAATGATGCTCTTTGTCTCACACAATTTAGGGAGTATTTATGTTGAAAATTGAGCCTCCTGTTGGTTGGAGTTTTGGTAAGAAAGTTAAAATTATATCCTATGTGTTCTATTCGCAATTGGACAGTTTGAATAAGTGTTTAAATGGATAATGGAAATAATACTTCCTTTCCTCCCTCCCTCCCCCTGCAGATCCAAACAGTGTGGAATTAAACATAGATGGTACCACAGATAGATGTAGCAAAGGAGAGGACATAAACTTTGTGTTTACTGGTTTCACACTCGCTGGAAAGGTTGGTCTCAAATTCCTAGAAATCGGTTGTGTAGTCTGTTAGTAGTTCTTGGAGGGCTGCACTTTTTGTCCAGTTGTGTAACCCTTTAAACCCTAAGAGAGACTAACATCTAATTTCTCCCTACAATTCACTCCTGAATCACACATTAACGTTATGAGAAGAAAGGAAATGGTCACCAGGGAAGAAATCTTTTGATTGGCAAACAAATTCTCCTTGTCAGCACCTTAGGAAATATATAAAGAACAGAGTGGAGAATATGCATACTGATGTTAGGGTGTATAGGGTTAAGCATCTAATTATGATTTTAATTCCAAGTTTAGTTCAGATTTTAAGTAGAGCTGTATCACTTTTCCTGCATTGAACTTGAGGCTGGTAAGTATATTTGTTTGATAAAAAGAGGGATTTATTGAGATATGACAAAGTGGATATTTGTTCAGTCAAAAATGGATTGTCTTTGAGTAGATGGGTTTTAGCCAGACAACTTGACAGGAGCCAGCTGGGAAATTATTTCAAGCCTTGATTAGGTATTGCAGTCAGTTTGATTGCCACCTATTAGATTCTTTAACCCTTTACACCCTAACATCAGTATGTATATTCTCCATACTGTTCTCCTTACATTTCTTAAAATGCTGACAAGGAGAATTTGTTTAAAAAATCAAGAGCTTCTATAGTTGGTGATCATTTCCTTTATTCTTGCGACTCTAATGTGTGATCCAGGGATGATATTGTAAGGAGAAATTACATGCTGGTCACTCAGGGGATCAAAGAAGTGCAAACTGTTAACTGTTATGCACATTATACATTGTTAATCGAAGCTTTGGTAAACAGGTTGTCAGTAAAGGTAGAGGACTTGGACCATCTGGAGTGGAAATTTCTCTGCAGGAATCAGCAGGTTTGTTTCATGTTTATGTGAAAATTCATTCAGTAGCTCACATGTGTTGGTACACTGAGAAATTTATGTACATCTGTACTGATGTGATTTAAATTTGGAGTAGACTTTGTTAATTGAAAAGTGACCCTAGAGGTTTCTGAAAGGAAAATAATGAAATAAGACAATGTATATTTTTGAAACTGTCAATTAATGCCTACTTGTTTTGTTTAGGTGATAAACAAAGGAAGACAGTCACTGCAGAAGGAGGATTGTAAGTTAAATTATGTGCTACAATATGAGTATTAAAAACTAGCACACTATTTAAGACCTAATAAAAAAATGATTATTATCCAAAACTGAAACATGTGAAGCATTTTAAATATGTTTCTTGTTTCATGGTTGAAATTATTTTAAACGTGCATACAAAAGTTTCTTTCAGTACATTTACCTAAATACATGTATGTATTTTGACCAGCCATTTTCTTTTCAAAAGAAAACACTTCTTGGTACAGCCTACTTAAAGCCAGCCACTTTGCAGAAGCATTTCCTACTTCTTGACATTCTCACAATATTGAACAGTGTTACATGTTCGAACTATACACAAAGTAGTGAGTGTGCAAAGGTGTACTCATGTATTCACTTAAGACAGTGTATAACTACACGTGTATGTTACAACGTCGGTCAGTCAGTTGGCAATCATCTACAAAAGCTTTTTATTTTCTTGACAAATGGAATATATCATATCACTTATTTTTGAAAATTGACTGCTAATTACTAAAAAAATTTAGTTATTAATTCATTATGCCCATTTGTTTTGCAATGGAAGATTTGTTGTTATTGTTACAACTCTGATCTCTCTAACATTGATCAATAGTTTCAGTTTTTCTCAAGTCATGCCTGGAAAATACCATGTGAAGGCTAGCCACTCCTCATGGACTTTTGAAAATGTAAGTTTACAATGTATAACAAGTGGTAAATTAATGGTGGTAAATTACTGGTATGTAGTAAAAGAAAAGGAGAGACATGCTGGCATTTGACTTATGAGTATAAATTGTGGAAACTATGAAAAAGTCTTCTAAACTTTCTCTCTGAATTCTGAAAATACATGTAATATCTTTGGCCAAAAAGTAGCCTACTCATTACTGCATCTCACTTTCATTGAGAGGTTTCAATTTATACAATATTCCATCAGCAAATCATGTTTCAGTTGAGTTAAATTTAGGGAGCTGGATCCAGAGAGAAAGTGAAATTCTTTCCATACATGCATTAGTTAAAACTTGCAGTGTGCAAACCTAGCCAATTTTGTTTTTAGCAGAGCAAGTTATCTTTCAAGTGGGAAAATGTTGTGGTGTGTACAACATCAACTGGGTCAGCACTTTGGAAATAGAAATCAGTATGATATAAATAATGTGAATTTTTCACTCAACTAGCTCTTTCATGATTTTTTTTAATTCATCAGGCTGAAGCAGAAGTGACAGTGGAGTCCAGCAATGTTGATGTTGTTGATAAGATAGTAGTTTCAGGATATGATGTAAAAGTAAGTGCAGATAATTCACATACCTTATTGTTTAGATCACATACTTGGTTACACTACACTAAAAATTGTTGGACCTACATATATATGTAAATTAGAAGTGTTAATTGTTTTTTTCCAGGGTCATGTTTTGAGTGATGGTGAACCTATTCAAGATGTTGGATTTCTTCTGTTCTCTAAATCTGTAGACCAAAAGGTGTGAAAAGTGAATCTGTTAAGGACATGACTTGTTTACATAATGATATCATCAAGCCTTGCTTGCAGTTTGTTTCCTGGGCTTTGAGATAGACTTAAATGGCTGATTTTTTTTAAACTTTTCACTCAATGTATGTGTTATAATCAATTCTTTTGTTAATTCATGGAATGCTAAAATGATTTTTGTACCATTCATTTTGTCTGAGCAACCAGCTCTTTAGTTGTACTTAAAAATGCCAGTTTTGATCCAAGTAGTGCCAAATGTGCTACTTGATTGATGGAAATGTACATGTTTGAGTGGAGACTAGACTTTTCAAATATACCTGTAGGCATTAATTGTCAGCAAAGCATCTGTGCCACAAGTACATGTATTTCCAATAGGATGATTGTCCACCAATAAGAAAAAACATGTTCATTTTTCAGAACTTTCCTGGATGTGAAGATATCCCACCTGACGTAGTAGAGATCATTAAAACAAAAATGGAGGTTGATGTGCCTCTTTGCCGTGTCAAGTCTGGTGTTGATGGACTGTTTGTCTTCCCCAGCATTCCGAGTGGAGAGTACACACTGGTAAAAACAAAATGATTGTAGAGAGAGATGTTTTCTTTTGTTTTGTCATCACTGTAAGACTACAAAAAAATTCTGAGTTCCCACGAGGAATGAAGAACTTTAGATTTCTGCACTGGCATGGTCTACATTGAATTTATCAATGGTTGATTTACATGCAAATAAATTCTTTTTGTTCTCTTTTTTTTAGGTTCCATATTACCAAGGAGAACTCATAACATTTGATGTGGTTCCCTCAAAGCTTACTTTCTCTGTCAATTACAAAAGTGTTGTGTTGAAGGTGAGGACATGACTCAATTCTCCAAACTAATATTGTAAGAAATGTATGGTTGTCAGTAAGGAGAATTACAAATTTGATATGAGAGTTAAAGGGTTTACTTATTGAATTACTTTTACTAAAAAATCATAGCATATTCTGAAATGAACTCAGTCTCGTTCAAGCAGACAATTCTCTTAGTGGTTGTAGACAACACAGGATTGGATTATATCAAGGAATTGTAGTCTGTTTTAATGAATCATTAAGTTGGATTTAATACAAAACTCCTCATGTAGTGGAATAGTTGCTGCTGTATGCATTGGCAATAATTTCTGTGCATTGAATTCAAGGAGTGCAGTTAATTCACTGGTAATGGATCAATCAATTCAATATATATGTTGTCTAAACCTCTCATCAATACTTCTTTTCTTTTACCTGCATGCAGACTCCATTCCAAGTGCATGGATTTTCCGTTACTGGTCAAGTTCTCACAGCAGAGGTAAGACAGGTAGTTTTCCCCCCTTAGAAGGAGAAAAAAAAGAAGATTTTACTCTAGCAGAGGACATTGCAAGGTACATGTATTAATGACAATCTTGTTATGATTTTTTGAAGGGGCAAGGTATTGCAGATGTGAGCATTACAGCTGGTGAAGAAATTACTGCAAAAACAACTGCAGAAGGTGTTTATGTGTTAAATAATGTTACAGCTGGAGCTTACACTATTCAGGTGAGACATTGATAAGGTTTAACCTTTTCTAAAATGTTGAAGTGCTGAGTATCATGAATGCTATGCATGCTATGAATCACTTTGTTTGTGCCTTACTGTTTACTATTCAAGAAATGTAATCAATCAGGTGGTTCATTCTTTTTCTAAGGATTTTTGTTTTTGTAACAACAACACAAGTAGGAGTCTTCCATTCAGATTGATTTAGAACCGGAGACATTAGTCATTGCCATCGATAACAACCCTTGAATCAGATAATGGATTCTGTTCAAGCTGTTAAAAATCCAGTCATTGAAAAACAACCTTTTCAGGATTACCCCAAACTAAGAAGTGGCTCATCATGACCAAATGTCACTCCCTGGTTAGTTATGTTAATGTAAGCAGAATATCTTTGCCAATGGGGTTTTCACATTTGCAGGCAAGCAAAGAACACTTTTTTTTCAACTCCATTAAAGTTCAAGTGACTCCAAACACTCCTAGGCTACCAGAGATAACTCCACAAGCGTAAGTTTAGACTGATTGGAAAATTCTCTAAGTTTTCTTGGTAATGGATTTATATATTTGTTTACTTTATAGTAATAAATGTCTATCATTTACAGACAAACTGTCAAAAATGTACCATGCAAAAGCAAAAAGTGAAAGTTTGGACAGTCGTATGACATTAATTTTTTCAGATGGATCTTTTACAGTTTACATTTGTCCAGTTATCTTGTATCGTTTTTAAATCTACTGATCCCTATTTCAGTGTGTTTTTATGAATATACTGTAAAAATGGTTTATATATTTATATTCATCCATAGACATTTTTTTTGTTGGTTGCAGATATCATTTGTGTGGGGCTCTTAAATTTGATGAGTTTCCTCCTGGAGTCACTCAGGTACACATAGTTATTTTTCTGTTGACCAACCCATATGAAGTAAATGCTATACTTTTGGCATAAAATAGGTTGTGGTTTTTCATTGTGGTAAATAACACTTCAAAAGGGAAACATAATTGTTTGTCTTGCGATGTGGTCACTTCAGTTGTGGAACATGATGTTGCCTTAAGATTTTATTTACAACATGGATGTGTTAATACCAATAGTTCAGCTCACTTCAAATGAGAGATATTTCTCAGCTGGGTGATTGAACGAAAGCGTCTTAATCCAGTCCCAGAAACCTTGTTGTAAATTGTTTCTGCTACTAGACATTAGAGCCACTTTGTCCTTTTTCTCTCAAACATTATTTCAGTCTTTAAAACGGAGGGTGAGTAAACGTATCAATTTGGAAAATGAAAGTGTTGCAAACGTATCTCTGTCTCAGAGCAAGCTTGCACTGAGTAACTGACATGCTCTGCAAGAAGCCACTGGTGTTGGGATTTGATCATGTCAAAGCTCTTGTTTCCTGTGAAAGAAATTAAAAAATGAAATTACAAAAGGAGTCCTTTAAGTTGAACCTGTGATGTAATTACAGGAAAGAGAGATCATTGCAAGGATTAAAAGAATTTGAGGTGCGTTCAAAGATGTGCAACTTTGTAATATTAATTATTAATTCTTTATTCTGTTTTTTTACCTGATGAAGTTGAAAGGACGTAAAATGATTCTACAAACAGAAGGAGCTTCGATTGCCACAAGGTCAATGTCTACCTCAGTTGATGAAAATGGCAACTTTTGCTTTAAAGTATCACCAGGGACTCATATGATTCAGGTAACAAGATAGTAAGAAAAAGGATATATCACTCTGCCATAAATAATATTGATATCCTAAAAACTTTGATAAATCAAAGAAAAATAATGTGTAAAATCTGAAGTTAATGTCCAAAATTGACAATTGGATGCCAGTGTCCAAAATCAGAAATTGAACATTAGTGTATAAACTCGGAAATCGGACTCTAGTGTCTAAAATCACAAATCAGACATCAGTGTCCAAAATTGGAAATCGGACACTAGTGTCCAAAACCTGAAATGAGACACTTGTGTTTAAAGTTGGAAATCAGATATTAGTGTCTTAAATCTGGAATTAGACACTGGTGTCCAAAATTGGAAATCGGACACTAGAGTCTACATTTGAAACACCACTTGTAGTGTCCAAAACCGGACACTGGTGTTAAAAATTGGACACTAGAAGCAAAAGAGGCGGACGTTTCTCCAAATCCCTTGTTTACTAAATCGCAGCGAATGCTTTTTGACAACAAATTTGTTCTTCTACTTATACTGACTTACTTAATATTGTATTCATTTATTTCTTAGCCAATAATAACCATGCAAGAAGTCGCCGCTGGCTTGGCATTGACCCCCAAAGAACAAGTAGTGACAATAAAGAACAGTCCCGTTCTTGGTATAACATTCTCACAATTCAGGGCAACTGTTACTGGGACTGTCAAGTGTATTGGTAAGTTGTTGCTAACATGTAGATGAGCTGTGGTTTGTTATCAGTATCAGGAGAAAGATTTCGTGTTAAGTTTGAAAAAATATCTGGGCATACGAGGTTTCATGTAACCTGTATTTTCTTAGTTGGCATTCCATTAAAAAGATGAAAGTCTGTTAGGGAAAAGATTTCCCGTACCCTTAAAAACTTTCGCATATTCAATCCAATAGCTACCCACACAGACAAAGGTGACTCTCTTTTTGCGGTGAAATGTTTCAAATTTTCGTAAAATTGCCTTATTCAACTGTACAATTAACAGTATGAGTGACACGCATTTCTACCAGGTGGCTCTTGTAGCGGAGTATCTATTACACTTCAATCAGTGTCAAATCCAGGCCTTCCAAAAGCAGAAGTCCAGGTAAAGAGATGTTTCTGCTCATCATTGCATTATTTTGGGTAAATTAATACCCCATTGACACAGAAAAACGTGTTTAATGAAAGCGGGTTTAACTGAATTAAAATCAGAAACAGAAAACTGAAAAACTGATATATCTTTAGGTTTCAAGCAGTCAATAACTTTTAATTTCAATGTGCTAAATTTCAAGTCCACAGACATCGGTCTAAGCAGCTTATACAGGGTAAAACAGAAAACCACCGCATACATTCTAATGAGCTTCTTTTGCGCGCGTTTTAAAAAGCTGCAGGCGTGTGTGCGCTTTTTTAAACGCGCTTTTCGCGTGCATTTTGGGCCTTGTACCTCTGAGCTGTACTGCATGAAGAAAACAATTTTCAACTGCATTTAACAAAACAGTTGCCTAGGGTTAGCTTTGGTGTGAATGGGGTATTAGTCACTTAACTTTTCATGTCCTGCTCTTCCACTCAAAAATAAGTTACCATTAAATATAATATTAATTGCAGGTGGCTGAAACTTCTTTTATCTTTAAAGATGTCTTTCCTGGAAAATATAAAGGTATTGTCTTGTC